TCCTCTTTATTTTCAAAGAGTGGCACGAAGGCAGCGGTGTCGTGTGGTGTCCCCAACCTCCGAAGGTCCCCTGCGACTGCTGAGCCCTTTTCCAGCTGGTACCTGGACTCTGAGGGTTTTCCCCAATCTTTGCTAATAAAATGAGCCCCGTGAAGCCGTTGTCAGTGTGGTGCTTCCCCCCGGCTGGAGCCCTCGGGGAGTGCCCCAGCACAGGGCAGGGGGACACTGGCTCTGCTGGGAGGGGACTTTCCAGTGCAATGATGGGGACTTTGAAGGGATAAAGGATCACGACATCGCGGGATGGTTTGGGTTGGAAGGGACTTTCAGAGACCATCTAGTCCAACCTCCTGCTATGGGCAGCGACATCTTCCACCAGATGAACTTGCTCCAACCCCCATCCAACCTGACCTTGAACATTTCCAGGGATGGGAAATGTACAACTTCCCTGGGCAACCTGTGCCACTGCCTCACCACCCCCATGCGAAAAAATTTCTTCTTGAACCCTGCTGCTCTGCACCCAGAAGAGAGGGTGGGAGACATCAGCCCATGCTCAACACAGGCCCCAGGTTCAGGACCCTCTTCCAAGGTCTCCCCAGGGCTGTCCCACTGCTGCTGGTGCTGCCCCATGCCCCACAGCTCCCCACACCTTTTTCCTGCCCATCAGGGTTTCCTGCCCCGGAGCTGCCCCAGGTGGGGCTGAGCCTGAGGACCGGAGGTCTCAGTGCCTCTGGAAAGCAACTGCCCCTGGGACCCCAGCCCCACGTCCAGACACGAATCTCTGGCTTACGTTGGAGGTTCCCATCTCCTCTGGCCTGATCAGGCCGTTTCTCCTGGCTGTTGAGAGCACATTGGCTTCAGCTCATGGGGGCCTCCCCCATCACTCGCTCCTCTTCTCCCCTTCTGAAAACCCCTCAAATCAAGGCAGGCTTCACTGCAGGCTGGAGATCTCCATCAGTGAACCTAAAATGTCTCTTGGGGTCTTGGGTGGCAGCGCTCATCCTCCAGCCAGCCCCCAGCTCTCCGTGGTGCCTGGTCAACCAGAGCTCTGGTCACAGCAGAGCTCTCCAGAGCACCCAGCCCTGCTCTGGGCCCAGGGACAGAGGTCCCAGGGCTGTGGTGACGCCAATCTCCACCCGCAGTCAGCCCTGCTTGTGGCACAGCTGTGGGTCCCCTCCGCAGAGGGCTCCATGTGGTTTGCTGTGCCCCGTTGGTGTTTTGGGGGTCCAGCAGCACAAGACGTGGAGGTTTCCCCCCAGTGCTGCCCACACCAGGCAGGGGACATCTAAAACCCAACCAGACACAGACCTGAGCAACCAGCTGTCGCCGACCCTGCTCGGGCAGAGCTGCAATTCCCTGGTCACTATTTAATCCATGGTCGTTCGCCTCTTTAATACAACCACCTTTGGGCAGGGACATCTTCCACTGGATGAGGGTGATCAAAACCCCGTCCAACCTGACCTTAAACATGTCAAGGGATCCACAATTTCTCCAGGCAACCTGTTCTAGCATCTGACTACCCTCATGGTAAAGAATTTCTTCCCTACATAGACAGCAATGGCAGCAAAAGCCAACTTGCATTTTTTCTGGGCGGAAAAAAGTGTGGATCTGCTGAATGCCCAGCCCAGGCGCGTGGTGCATCCAGGGGGACGCCTGTCCCTGCCCCTCGAGCAGAGAGGAGGGCCCACAAGGGACAGGCACGGAGCAAGGTGAGCCAGCACCCTGCCCTGATCGCTTTCACCAGCGGATCCGAGGAGCTCTGAAGTTCTGCTGAAACATCCCCGGGGAGCACAATCAGCTCCTGGTGAGAAGGGACCCAACTGTCCCATACCTCGGCACAGAACCTGGCTGGCTGGCAGCAGGGCTGAGTTAACAGCACCCATAGCCCAGCGAGAGGCTTCCCTGGGGAAGAGGCACTGGAGAAAGTGCTTTGAGATGCTGCAGAGAGCAGAAAGTCTCACAAAGCGCATACCAGGAAGGCAGGGCAGATGACAAAAACCAACGCAGAGGATTGGTAATGCAAATATAAAAAAATAAATCACTCACAACTGGAGTTGCCTCAACTGGAAGTGCTTCAAGCTCCAGAGGTGCCGAGCACCCGGCCGTGCAATTGAGAAGGGCTGCAGATCCTCGGCGTGTCTGGAAGACGTTTGGGTTCAATGTGTGGATCTGGGAGCCAACAACCAAGTGAGAAAGTAGAAAGTTTGGGTCCTGATCCCCAGCAAAGAAAAAAACAACATAAGAATGCAAAATACAGAGCGAATTAATTAGGGAGAGCATCTATTTTTGCTAGCAGGACAGAATTAATTTCACAGCGAGACTCTGGCTAGTGTCTGCAGGGGCTGCTCCAGAGCATGCTGAAGGGTTAGGAGAAACGCCAATGAGAAACAAAAAAGGAACTTGCACAACTACTTTCTGGGATTTATAAAATATATGCTGCATGAACAATCTTCCATCTTCACAATTAAAATAACTGAAAAAGGGGGGAATCAAAGTTATTATCCTTTTACAAGTATCAGTCACCTATGTACTGATACACCATAATGGAACAGAAGAACACATAATTAAACACTAAGTATTTAATCCTAGCTTTTATTACATGAAAGCGTGTAACGGTTCATTTTTCAAGCCATGGATGCTTGAACAGTTACAGCCAGCTTGCTGAAGTTCTCAGTTCGGCATCAGTTCATCCTGTGACATGTTGCCGCTGGAGAAATCCTCAGCGAACTGGGTGGAAGTCCTCCAAAAGCTCTCCTATTCTTCTCTTTTCTGCAAGAGGCAAGGGATGGAGGTGGGAAAACTTGATTAGTATTTGAGATCGATTCTGAAGATTTTTAACATTAAAGTCTTAAGGTTAACAACGCCACCAAAAATGTGATTTTTGCTACCAACGGTGAGCTATTAGCTTGCTGCATCAAATAAATACGTAATTTCTTTGCCATAGGGCTCTCCACAGATCCCCGTTGCAATATTAACGCTTCTTTATTTCTATATATTCTTTCTGACAGGGCAAGATGCGGATCACAATCCAACAGCCAGAGTCACCTAACCATATTGTATTAGAAAACAAACAATTTTCACCAAAATTTGCCATAGCATTGCTGGGCTTAGTGACTATATTTAGTAAAACGCTGTTCTTCACCAAGGCTCTAAGCCAAGAGCACTTCAGGTTTCCTGCCATTTCTGTTTGTTCTTTTTTCACCTGCTCTGCTTATTTTCTGAATATTCATCATGTCATTTCTGAATTGACATGCACTGCAATTTTACAAGAATAAATAGTAAAACTGTGATTTTACAAGAAGAAAACCGGTGATTTCTAATTTTTATTACTGTATTTCTTCTTCAGTGGCATAAGTTTGATCTATTATTATTTTTTTTGGCTCTGCCATTTTTATATTAAAATAAGCTTTTAGGAGGAAGAGGTGGTCATCAAGGTAGCCGATCAGTTCAATAAAAAAACATTTTCATATTACAAAATCCTTAATACTGTTCCAATTTAGATTGCGAATAAGCAGGAGTTAGAAGTCAGTACGACTTGCTAGAAAAGAAAAGATTCCGCAAGCAGCCCAGCAGCATCTTTACATACATTAGCACTTACTAACCGGTATGTTATGGCAGGCCGAGGTCTTTCTTAAAATACCAACTTATTATACCTGCTGTCTTAAAGTCCTCCGGGTGCTGCCTGACATACTCAAACAACTCTCTGTCCAGTTTGGCATGCATGTACTCCATACGTTTAGTCAGGTAATAGCCAACAAACCATCCCACGGTAGTGAAGAGGATCTGGCGGTGAACACCTGCAGCAGGAAGAGGAAGGTCCCCCTGTCTCAGTCCATCTCCTGGCCCCAAGCAGGCCCCC